TCGAATACCAGCCTACTAATTATACGTTGTAATGCTAGTAGTGAATAAATAATTTTTTGCACTCCTTCGTTCTAAATCGCGTTTTCCCAATAAAACACGAACGTCAATTTTACAATTGACTATCTACTTTCGCGCACTAGTGCCTAAAAATTCAACGAATCATTCCCTGTAGTACACGGGCAAAAATAAGCTTAAACCAGAAGTTTTGAACATGCGAAATTGACATTTTAAATTTCTAGATTTCTACTTTATCGGCATAGAGGACTTGATTTTTTCAAAAGAATTCGATTTAACTAATCCGTGCAAAAAATAGAATACATGTTACGTGCGTGAACAGTGTTTGCTTGAGTCGCGCGACATGCGTCGCTCGTGCGCGTTGCGCACTCGCGGCGTCAAACTTCGCGCTCGTCTGCAAAAGAACTGTTCCCGCACTAATAATGTAAATAACTATTTCTAACCTGTCCGTTTCTGACGAATTTCGAGAAGTTGCGCATTACAACCTTTGTGTCTGCGCAATCTCAAATTGTTTATTTGTTAAGATATTTAATAGTTATATAACAAGAGCGCGAAGTTCAATTTCGCGCATTGAGACTGACGGTATTTTAACGAGGCGTAGCCGAGTCAAAATATCTGTCAAATGCGCGAAATAACTTCGCGCTAGCGTTATATACAATATTTTTTCTACAACTGAACCGATTGTTAATTAAATTTACTGTTTAAGTTCAACTTTGTCATGTGTGCGAAATACTTTTTTTGATTGTTGATGGTTTCGCGCACGTTGTCAAGAGCAACCTTACTTATTAATTAACCGTTTGAAAATCTAGTACTTCGTGTTTCGAAATTCGTCAGAAACGGACAGGTTAGAAATAGTTATTTACATTATTAGTGCGGGAACAGTTCTTTTGCAGACGAGCGCGAAGTTTGACGCCGCGAGTGCGCAACGCGCACGAGCGACGCATGTCGCGCGACTCAAGCAAACACTGTTCACGCACGTAACATGTATTCTATTTTTTGCACGGATTAGTTAAATCGAATTCTTTTGAAAAAATCAAGTCCTCTATGCCGATAAAGTAGAAATCTAGAAATTTAAAATGTCAATTTCATGTTCAAAACTTCTGGTTTAAGCTTATTTTTGCCCGTGTACTACAGGGAATGATTCGTTGAATTTTTAGGCACTAGTGCGCGAAAGTAGATAGTCAATTGTAAAATTGACGTTCGTGTTTTATTGGGAAAACGCGATTTAGAACGAAGGAGTGCAAAATAGTTATTTGTTTCATTAGTACAAAAAATGTCAGTTTTCGGGACGAGGAAGATAGTTGCTGGACGACGCGTTAGCGGAGTCCAGCAACCTTCCGAGTCCCGAAAACGCATTTTTTGTACGAATAAAACATAAAATTTTTTCTCCAACCCCCTTTACTTCAAATTATATTCGAATTTAGATTCAGTCACAGTTTCACTACTATAGTATAAGAACTTCTGCTTTCTTGTCCTCACGTGTCATGCCACTCCAGTTTTTAGGTTAACTTATGGCCTATTCGTTCTTACTTCTTCCTTCTCACCTCTCGCGACTTTGTAGGGAGCAAATCTTGAGGTAGCATGTTCTGCCGTTTCTATAATCTCTGGCGGAGTGCAATCCATGTCGCTATCAGTTTCAGTCATTTTATTGTATACACAATTAATATTGTTATATTTTGTATTGAAATAAAAAACTTACCATACAGTTTTTTAATTAAAATTAATTGCAATTAACTTTTTCAAATTTTGAATTCAAAATGACAGATAATAGTGCAATGGGTCTGAAGTAGATGGCGTTACGCGCGACGGCGGGTTGTATACGTATTAAAATTACGTTCACGGAATATGTAAATTACGTTACACATGGTTTAAATAAAAATAGCGAGCGTAAATCATTTTCAATACATGTACATACGTATAGGTAACATCATTATTTGCATTGAATATGCAAAAATATTTGATTTGTATGTATAGAAATATCTTACAACCTGCAATGTAAAACGATGTCAATGTGACATATCTCCGTGATTGTAATTTTTTAATTGGCCAACTTTCAAGGTCAATTTCTTTTTGGTACTAGGACCAAAAGTATCCACTTTTTGTACAGTTGCCATGGTGAAAGCGATTAATCCGCAAAACGTCAATTTTAGGTACCGAACACTGTCACAAAATAGCGTCTTATTCAGGTGGTTGGAGAAAAAATTATTTATTCACTACTAGCATTACAACGTATAATTAGTAGGCTGGTATTCGATCCTAGATTTTATTTTTCTCTACCTCGTGGATTATTTCTCTCCTATGATAATGAATTTGACATTTGGGTTGCCTATAATTAGGGGCAATAAATAAATAACTATCGTTGTACGTTATGTTAATGAAGTAAACAAGGATTTTATTGAACTGAACACTTACTTTTGAAAATTATAATTAATCACACAATTAATGTACGCGATATTCTTCGAAATACACCAACATAACATTTTCACTATCTTGTGAAACACATTTTGTTTGGCACCATTCTTTAAAATTTAAATAAATTTTATTGTAATAATGTTTTGATTTTTCAGGCAAGAGGTCGTTAGCGGCCACGCTTTTTGCTGCCTCTCGTCTGTCTGGAGGAGTGCACGAAAATTCGCTATCCATATTTATTTAACAGCAATTAGCGAAACACGCAAAATGCGACTTACAAATAATGTAATGTCAAAGACACAGCCTTCTTGTAAAAGTACCTTAATCTATTATAGGTACTTAAAATCGCCAAAATCGTGTTTTCTAATGATATTTAAATACTATGCGATCAAAAATGAGTTGCTGTCGAGTTACCTTTGGAATTTTTGTTTACATGGGAAATCGTACTTAACTTGAACTTCCAAAGGCGACTCGACAGCAACTCATTTTTGATCGCCCGTTATGTGTTAAAACAGTTCATCTGCTAGTAGTGAATAAAATAATATATAAACCACGGTAGAGAAGACTTTTCATGTTCATCGCCTCGCTTCTAAGAAAATCAACTTCTCTACCTTGGTGTATAATTACTATTTTTATTTTTTTTATTAAGATCGTTTATAATTTTGTATTGCTGTCTGTCTGTCCGTCTGCCTGTCCGTCCGGCTGTCTGCCTGTCTGTCAGCCTGTCCGTCCGTATGTCTGTCCGCCTGACTGCCCGTCTGTATGTCCGCCTGTCTCTCCGTCCGTCTGTCCTTTCGTCTGTCAGTCCGTCTATCTGCCCGTCTGTCTGTTCGTTATGGGGAGTTTCCATTATGTAAAAAAATTTTTTTCAAGATGATGTCATTCAAAAAGAAAGAGCGTTTCGCGTTGGCTGTCATCTGCCTCTCGCACCGCTTGCCTAATGTTCGCGACTTGTTGATGTAGACTTTCGATTCTAGGTACTCCCACAAGAAAAAAATGCCTGGGCATTTTTGATTCAAAACATAGATTTTTGAAGTATTGCCGTACGATAAACCCATTGTCGAGACAGTCCACACCAGGATGGATGCTTGAAACTCCCCCGTCATCATCAGCGTTTCTTGGCCAGTGGCGTACCTTCATTGTACCTAATGTAATAATTATATAGGGCTAGGATTTTGATGATTTTGTATCTTTTTTTCTGAAAGTCTAAGACATTGCTCCGTTATATATAAACGTGTTTCAGGATAAATTGAATCAAATGACAGCAATTTGTTGGTGCATTTTTTGCCCATTTTTGAGGAATGGGACATTTTTTGGAGATTTTGTGTGTTTTACTTTGAATTATTTGCACTTCTGAGGAATAATGCTAATTTGTTTGACATTTTACGATATTTTTCTTGGCGAGTTTATAAACGTTTGTTAAAGTTTTATTTTTCATGCGGTCTACATTTCTACAACAAAATACAAATAATATTTTTCTTTTCTCGGTAATTCCGGATATTTTTACCTGTTTAGAAATAAAGTCTAAAACCTCTATTATAAGCTAAATGCACAGTTAATGTTTTCTTGGAACGTGCCTTAAGTTATACACACAAACGAATACCCATTGAGGGATTAAATTTCTTTGGGATGCAATCAAGTGGGTCACCTATTTTCTAAGACTGGTTTGCAGAGGGTGGAAATCAACTAACAATAAAATTCCTGCCTTATGTTACCTAATTGCTTCATAAAATAATTTCACCGTCTTATTCAGTTTGATCAATAAAATTTATGTCATCTTTTTAAATTGAACTTCGCGCTCTTGTTATATAACTATTAAATATCTTAACAAATAAACAATTTGAGATTGCGCAGACACAAAGGTTGTAATGCGCATGCGCAATCTTTTTTTGCATCTGCATAGTTGCCTGAAGTTTAAGGAATATTTACAGAAAACCGCACATTCATATGTTCTTTGTAACAAGAGTTATAAGAGAAACCTTTTTCGGAGGTTTGGGCAGTTTTTGGGCTGTAACTTATAGGGCCGTTGGTCTACGTAGCCGAACAACTATAGCGACCTTTCATATATCCTGAAGAACATGTGTATCAATTTTCAAAGCGATCGGACGTCTCTACACAAAGTTATCGACTTATCGTGCACACGGACAAACAGGCGGACAGACAGACAGCAATACAAAATTATAAACGATCTCGTGGATCGTTAATAATTCACTGACTGACGTGCTAATTTATTTCCGCTGTAGATAGGTATCCTTGAATGTACTGTTACTGATAAGCGATTTGCGAATGGAAGACCGAAATACGCTTCTAGGTATATTCTATAAAGGTGTATTCTTGGTATTTTGGTGTTTTCACATCGATATGAAAATAATAAAAAATAATGCTTGACGACAATCAATTGACAAACCTGACGTTAATTAGGTAGCGTAGACACCGTTGAGCTTGTTAGAATTTTATTATATTATTTTGTATAGGTATGACAATTGCAAATGACTAATCTCCGTAATCAATGCTTATCTAGCAACCTTGAATTGTTAGGTGCTATCAACATTCATGCGTATAAGTTGATATGTAAACGTATAACCATTGGCTTTGAATATAAAAATAATCAAAGCCATTGGCTAAGTATAGCTACATAATATGAATCTTTGCATTTCCATATGAATGGCGTGGTGCGACGACTTGACTAGAGCATTTTTATCAAAATAATATAGTTGTCCTATCAACATAAATATCTTTTATACTGTTTACATACATCAAATAAACATATATCTTCTTCAACGCCAGGAAACAATGTAAGTACGTTCGGCAATTTTTTATTTAGGGTTGGTAGGTAGATACTTTACGACCAAATGTATGCAGGTGGGATTGGAATTTCGAATGACTTCTTCTAATTCGGAAAATAGTGATCAATCTGCGCATTTTAGTATTAAGGGAGCCCCGTTTGGGATTTCGGGCCCATTCTAAGAAACTCATCACTCATTATTTTTGCCAAAAATGGATTCGTTGTGTATGTGGCATTAGATTATTTATTTTGCGATGTCTGTCCGTCTGTCTGTCCGTCCATTAGCACGATATCTCGTAAACGAATGGACCGATTACGATGAAATTTTGCAGGTGAATTCTGTATCAAATTTGTAGATCGGAGTTCGTGAATTGGCAATGTAGGTCAAAAAATAAGGAAGGCCTTTTTGACATCTCCGTTAGTTATAAACCGAATTGCACGAAATTCAATATGCGGATAGCTGTAGCCATATAAAACGTAATTCCAAAAGTTGAGCTTAATCGAACTAGCATTCACAGTGCCCTCTTCGCATCTCGACCATTTATAAACCGAATTGCAAACTTTCTTATTTATGAAGGTAGTTTAAATGAAATTTGATACATATCCACTTGGAATAAAAGCAAATTTAACGCCAGTTTCAAAATTGGTTTTGCGCATGCGCAGTGCCAACTTTATTATTTATGGAGGGATTTAAATGAAATTTGATACATAGTCACTTGGAATAAAAGCAAATGTAGCGCCAGTTTCCAAATTTGGTTTTGTGCATGCTATAGCCAAACCCAGGAGCTCATTTTCTATATTTGTTTACACGTTTATTATATTATATATATTTTGCAAGATTACGTTATTGTAGTTGGAGAGTTCGATAATGCAGCCGCCGTGCCAGTAAAAAGAATCGAACCTTTATTCCACATCTAGATAAACTGAATAATACGAGGATAAGCCAAAAATTAACTACACTCTTGAGTTTTAGCAATACCAGAAGGTGATCCCTTTAATTAACTTTTCCGCTGTTTATATGTGAGTGGGTATATGTGTGTGATAAGATAATCGACTTCAACTTGAGTACTGCTTGCATGATCAACCGCACATCATATATCCTACCTCTTAGAAGGCAATTTTTCTGAAGGCTAGTTCGTTATACCGTATTGGTGAAGAGAGGTCTATAGATCAATCACTTTTGTACCGACGAAATAATGCTAAAGAAATAGATTTTATAAGTACTTAGAATATAATTATTTGCACTGCGCGCAATTTGATTTTAGGAAAAGTCATTCTACTACGCAAGTAGTGTCCACATTGAGTTCCTCGGGGCCCTATTTTAGGACCTCTATTATTTATTACTAATGAATATATATTTTTTTTGAAATCGTATGCTCTATAATAATAATCACTGCTTCACTTATGTCGACGGTACCAGTAGTGCCATCGCAAATTTGGCAGTACCGAAACGCACTTTTTTTTTTATAAAAATGAAATATTGACTTTGCTTTTGTTAGAAGTTATATCTGCTATTTGTTCAAAATTATATTATATGTCTATGAGTTTAATCAAAATCTAAACTAGAAAATTGAAAATTCTTGTTTAAATAAATTTGGCTATATGAGAAACTAATGTAGTCTACTACCATTTTGCTCTATGTGTGCTTGTGTCGTCTGCAGTGCGGTGTCTCCCTGAACCCCGCAGTTCAGTGGAAGCTGAACTGGGGTAGTAAGGGTCCCTGGTTCGAATCCGGGTTCGGGCATGGATATTTGTAAATGTATAGTGGGTCGGGTTGGTAGAGCAGCATTGGCTGAAACCCCGCCCACTCAAAAATGAAGCAAAAAAAATAAGTATGCGCGTACTCTTTTATGTTATTGGTCCATGTTGTTTTATGAACGTATGTAAGCCTTAAGACAGTCAGGTTGTGTTTACTCCCTAAATCAGTGTTATCAGAATGACAAGTGCAATTGGAGGAAAATTTTGTTTGTTTTGTTACCGCATAAAATTAACTTGTGTTTGTATTTTTTCTGTAAAACCAGTGCCTCTGGACGATACCTAAGTACATCGTAAATTTCTCAAATGAAAATAGTAAACATGTGATAACCGAAAGGTAGGCATACCCATACGATACTCTAACTAATTTTGGTTGGAAAGCGAGTAATTATCACAGTCTAGCAATATTTCAGATGATCCCCATGAAACAAGTTCAATAACGAAAGAAACAGACTATGATTTAGTATAAATAGTTTGAACCGTTTGGGATTTGTTGACGTATGCTTTAACCTTTTTGCAGAGTCATGAAGAGGATGATCATGTATTGTCTGATATTACTTTCTACCCTCGTTTGGCTATCACGAGGTCACTCAAGCAACCCAATAGTAACTACGCCATCTGGTGCCGTCAAAGGTTCGATAATGACCTCGGCGCAAGAGAAAACAATATTTGCCTTTAGAGGAATTCGCTACGCTGAACCACCTATAGGCGAGTGGCGTTTTAAGGTAAGCACCTAAACCAATCATCCGCCACGCAATTGTGATTGATTTGCTTTTTTGTGCTTTACACAAGAACATAAATTGAAGAAAAGACCAAAACGGATAACAGTTTCCAGTTTGAAGAAGTATAAAAAATGTCGCTGCCTATAGGCGACAGATACCTAACTACGTCCATGGTTCGTATACACTCGTATTTAAAAAATTGTTACGCATATAAGCATACTTTATAACGAGGCGTCATTTGATACCAAACCTATTCGAAAGGTCGAACGATTAATTTTTTATCTGGTCTACATACGATAAAATCATCACAAAAGGGGAATTTTTTTCGAAAAATTTCCCTAAAAAGCAGATACCTACAGTTTTGGAGGTTGGCTGGTTGTGTTAACGCCATTGAGTTAGAAAATTAATGGAGGGAATATAATGGTAGAGGGGGTAAGAATTTTTGTAGACGGAAGTTGCCACAGATAGAGGCCACTCGCGTGGATAGGTTCCCGTGAAGGTACATTTTGGCCGACATTATTTGACATATGAAAACGCGGGTTCTGTCACTGTCAGTTTTCCACCAAATTCAAATTTTATTAAATTTGCCCTTTTAAAGTACCTAATAATTTCGGATCGGTTTGTGCTCTGGTTTATATAAATAACTAACTGCCGCATAGTGTTTTTATCACACGCAATTTTGTGAATTGAGAATGATTAGCTGCATATCATGCAAAATTTCTCATAAAGGGAAGAAACAGGGCATTTCCTTTCATCGGTAAGTCATTTATTATGTTGTAGGCGAGGTTGTATGGTACCTAGTTTATGTTTCTTAGTTTTCCAAACGAACCAGTACTTCGAGTAAAATGGTTACCTAACATTTCTAAATATATCTGCTTTTGTGCTCACAACGCTTCATTGACTGTGATTTCGACCAAAGGTTGCACCGGAAAATGTTCATCAAATATGTAGTACTATCAAAATTTGTTTTTACAGCTAAACGTGTGAGTTTATAATATGGATATCAGGTGTGAGTTTTTTACGAGTGCGGATACATTTTGAGACCAATAAATAAATTATTATTGAATCTGTCGGCCGTAATGAACCTGAGACCAACCAGTCAATTGTAGCTATTGATCAACACAGTGAATTTAATGGGAGTTAAGCTGAATTTATAGTTCCGTACCCGCAACGCCGTACCGTAACGTTTGGAATTAAACCCTACTTGTTGCGTGCAGTGAACATTTATAGTTCGCGTTAACGTTGCGTTAGTACGGTTACGGTACGTAGGAAATGCCCAAATCTTATTTCTTACGGTATATCGTGCTAACGCGTTTGTCGTCGGCAGTACTCGGATAATTCAAACAGTTGAGTTTATCCTGACGTTCGTTTCGTTTATTTACAATAATTATTGACACTTTGTTGGTTATTATTATTTTGAAATGCACGTTACTCTTACTGACAGATGACATACAATGGCAGATAAATACGCAAGCTCATCTCTTACCACTACGGTAACTATAAATCGTATAATTTTCGTTAACGTAAGATTTTACGGTTCCGTTATTACCATTGAGTTAGAAAACTAATGGAGGGAATATAATGGTAGAGGGGGTAAGAATTTTTGTAGACGGAAGTTGCCACAGATAGAGGCCACTCGCGTGGATAGGTTCCCGTGAAGGTACATTTTGGCCGACATTATTTGACATATGAAAACGCGGGTCCTGTCACTGTCAGTTTTCCACCAAATTCAAATTTTAATAAATTTACCATTTTTTTACCTAATAATTTCGGATCGGTTTGTGCTCTGGTTTATATAAATGACTAACTGCCTCATAGTGTTTTCATCACACGCAATTTTGTGAATTGAGAATGATTAGCTGCGTATCATGCAAAATTTCTCATAAAGGGAAGAAACAGGGCATTTCCTTTCATCGGTAAGACATGCCATTTATCATGTTGTAGGCGAGGTTGTAGGTACCTAGTTTATGTTTCTTAGTTTTCCAAACGAACCGGTACTTCGAGCAAAATGGTTACCTAACATTTGTGTAAATATATCTCAAGAACAGCTCTCGAAATTTACTTTTGTGCTCACAACGCTTCATTGACTGTGATTTCGACCAAAGGTTGCACCGGAAAATGTTCATCAAATATCTCGTCAATTTATATGGAGTAGGTATCTACTATCAAAACTTGTAATGAACCTGAGACCAACCAATCAATTGTAGCTATTGATCAACACAGTGAATTTAATGGGAGTTGTCAAGTTGTAGTGGCTATAGTAAACTGGCCTTAATTATACTAATGGAACACATCGATGTATATTTAGATTTGTAATCAATGATTATATTAAATCTGCATACTTTCCCATCCTTGTCTATTTTGTTTACTTTACCACGAGCATGTATTTTACTCCTTCTGTACGTTTTTTTTGTTATTATTCCTATTAGTGGAAAGAAAATTATATCTCTACGCCACTGAAGTGAGACGCTAATGATAACGGAAGTGGTGTGGTACTTTAATCACAGTTAGAGGCCACTTTTGGTTCCCGTGGTCTACGTCTGGCCAAGCATTTGATTCCCTCAATTCTAACTCAATGGTTATTACGTTCTTACGGCTACGGAACTATAAATCCGGCTTTATCAAGTTGTAGTGGCTATAGTAAACTGGCCTTAATTATACTACTGGAACACATCGATGTATATTTAGATTTGTAATCAATGAATTAAATCTGCATACTTTCCCATCCTTGTCTATTTTGTTTACTTTACCACGAGCATGTATTTTACTCCTTCTATACGTTTTTTTTGTTATTATTCCTATTAGTGCAAAGAAAATTATATGTCTACGCCACTGAAGTGAGACGCTAATGATAACGGAAGTGGTGTGGTACTTTAATCAAAGCCAGAGGTGACTTTTGGTTCCCGTGGTCTACGTCTGACCAAGCATTCGATTCCCTATATTAGTTTTCTAACTCAATGGTTAACGCCGAGGTGACGCTTCGCCGATTCTGGTGACGGTGTTACAGCACATTGCGCCGGTGCTTGCGTTCTCTCTTTTTGGAGTAACGGGTGAGGTGACATGAAGGTTCGGGTAAGCACAGCCGTCTATATCACAGAATAAGACCTTCACAGAACAGAAACATAAATGGCGCTAAATTTTCACTGATTACAGCGTTTCCCGTGGTTGTATGGAGAACTATTTATCGCAGACTCGAATATTTTTTTGCAAAACCTGTAATTTTGCTCGTTACAGGAAATATTTTTACCGTCGATTTTATACGTACACAGGTTTTACACATGTCAATTTTGACTTTTGAAAGATTTAAAATATGAACAAGTTACGTGACCGTAAAAAGTGTTGTGTGGCGGATTGTAACAATAAAATATCAAAAAGGCATCGTTTTCCACATTTTGAAACAGATTGTTTTGTGCTTGAAACGCGAAGAGGGTTGAAATGTGTTGTTATTTCTTTCCTATTTATGCAAGGTAAGTAACAGGTACAAATTGACGCAGAATTATTACCAACTGTACCTATAGGCGCAAAAGGGTGTAGACTTGAGTTTTATATTTATATAGATGTAGATACTTATATTGTAATTCGTTTTAGATAATTCAACAACTTCCACCCTCGCTTCTCAAGTAACCAGTAAGCACCAGGATCAAGTTAACATTTGTTGTCAAAAACTTGTGTGACTATTTGCTGAAACCGTTTTATCACTTCTTGGAACAAAAAATTTAGTTCTAAAGATATTTTTTAACAAAAATATGTAGTCCAAACAGCAATTAAAACCAAATATTTCGTAGGACAACTCGTTACGTAAGGATCTTTTTGCAAAGTGTTAACTTCTACAAAGCGTAAGTTGCACTTACTTCTGAGTTTTATATGTAATTTGTAATCATGTAATTTAAGATGTCTGTGTTAAAAATAATGTAATGTGATTGTATCTAAATACACTTGCTATTTAACAACTGTGTATTCTTTATCTATATTTGTGATTTAGATCGAATTGGGGAAATTACTTCATGGATTTAGAAGCTGGTCACCAGATGGCGCTACTCTGATTTTGATGCTTTAGTTCACAGTACACCCACCAGGGTCCGCCAAAATACCATACAAATTTGTAACATTGCTGTTTCTATTCTGAGAAGGCCGTATTCTGTGGTCTATATTTGCAAGCCATGCTGAGAAGTTTGGCAACGTTGTTCGAAAGTCATTTGGAGGGCCGATAAAAATGTCAATGGCGTCTTGTTGCTCTTGAAAAATGGCATTTTTCCTCTCTTCTGTGTTTCGCCTTGGTGGTTTTAATACCGAAGTGTTCAGTTAAAATTTCGTTGAATGTTTGAGTAAACTTTAACCGCTTCAACTGCTACTTTAACTTGTCTATTATTTTACCCATTCCTATTCGCCTTGTGTCGGGCCGGGCCTGAATACTGATATGCAATTATCGCCGAAAACGCGTAAAGTAATCCTTCTGGCATCTACCTAATTACAATTATCAACAGGCAAATTTTTCTTGACACAATATGAACCACTGGTTTGAAAATCTAGATACGTGCATCGGAATCAGCCAGAAAGATTAATTCTAACGAGTTTCTCGAACCTGCTGCATTTATTTTCTCATTATGTTTGAAGCAGACATAAAAATTGGATGTCTGAGAGGTTACGGTGAAATGTAATTTCGTTCTATACACTGCACTTTTATAAAAGCACCATGGAAAGTGTAAGTAAGATGAAGGGCTCTAGAAAATATACTTGAAAATAAATTGAATGGTACTTGATGTAGGCGAATAAAGTATTCTTTTCATTCTTTTTGTTCTATAAAAATGTTGAACTGGTAATTTATTGATATAATGTTGCAAAATAAATGTTTGGAAAGCGCTTTAATAAAATAGTAATTATTGTAAATACGACGAACCGTCTTAAGGGTTCTTCATATTGTTGTGTTTTCAAATAATGTGAAATGTTGTTTTGTGGTGTGTAGTATGAGGCAATGATAAAATCCTATAGATACCTATAAAATGTTTCTCTGGGCAAAATTCCAAAGAAATTCAGGAAAAACACATATGTATTCACATTTCACATTCATATCCATCAGATCTTCAGTTGCCTCGTTGTATAGGTTTTGTGAATTTTTGCGTAGAAATCAATTTCGCTGACGTAGAAATAATTTTCATATCTACTACAATTTTTAGCATATAACTCAAAAAGGTTGGAACAACTTCTAGATTGTTGAAAAGAGCGAAAAATAGTTTAATTAACCATGATGATATTAAATACGCCTTCCATTAAGCAAATGAAAATGTACTATTTCTCGAAAACTGTAGTAGCTATGAAAACTATACATACAGGCTGGTGACTTGCGTAGCGCATCATAGGGATTTCAATGTAAAATTCATAACATGCGATTATTTGCTCCCCAAATTATTTTAGAGCAAAAATGTATTAAGGTTTTTTGTAGAAAACAATTTTTTACGTCATTAAGGGTATTAGTTTTAAATTTTTTGCATAATAAAGACGGAAAATTGGAAAAATAAACCCGCATCTTTTTCAATAATCTGTGATGCCATGGAATTTTATAATACAAAAACTACGCCAATATCCGTCATGCCATGGAATGTCTGCTATAAAACAAATCAAATTCTATCAAAAAGTATTATAAAGGGTGATCAAATAAGAGCTTCCGAAAGTATTTTTGAAATAAAATGCATTAAATTCAATTTAATAACCAAAAATTCTATTTGATACGTAAGTTCGGTACATGACATTAATGTTTAAAAATAATTTGATTTAAATGCTGACCGTGACTGACTCGTAAATGGTCCATTCTATGGGTCCAGTTTTCAAGGGCTCTTTCTCGCATAGTTTGTGGTTTATCGGCATAAATAAGTGATTTGAGATAACCCCATAAAAAGTAATCTAACGGCGTTTGATCACATGATCTTGGTGGCCAATTCACTGCTCCATTTCTTGATATGATGTCTCATCAAAAGTTTCTTTCAATAAATCGATGGTTTCGTGTGCTGTGTGGCACGTCGCACAATCTTGTTGAAACCATAAGTCGGCTACATCAATATCTTGAATTTTTTGGCAACAATTTTTTCATTTTGCGTTCAGTTGGGCGATTATGAGCACCATAAAATGGTCGAAGAGCACGAAAAACATTTCTCACTGAACACTGATTTTGGAAATAAATTTCCACGATTTGTAATCGTTGTTCTGCTGTAAGTCTATTCATAGTGAAATGTCAACTAATAATGAACAAAAAACACACATGCACATGACAGCGATCTTGATTAAAGTGTTTTAAAATCCCTATTGGAAAAAGTACTTCGTATTTGATCACCCGTTATTTATAACAGCGAATTCAACATAAAGAAAGACCAAATTACTAAAAACGGTTTCCTAATATAACAATTTATAATAAATGCTCAAATGTCACCATTAACTGCAAGACAGTAACCAAGTCGATCATAAAATCTATTTCGAACTGCTGCTAATTGATAACTGAATATCTTTTTGTTTTAGAAAATTCCATGGCATCACAGATTATTGAAAAAGATGGGGGTTTTATTTTTCCGTCTTTATTATGCAAAAATGGAAAACTAATACGGTTGATTGACGTAAAAAATTGTTTTCTACAAAAAACCTTAATACATTTTTGCTCTAAAATAATTTGGGGAGCCAATAATCGCATGTTATGAATTTTACATTGAAATTCCTATGATGCGTTACGCAAGTCACCACCCTGTATACCTAGGTAGTGATTTTTATCTTGAGCAGCTTCATTAAGCAATCTTGGTTGCTTAATGAACCAGCTCAGGTTGCAGTTCTTGGCCAATTTGCCATTAATCTCTCAATGTTAACATTTAGTTTTTTTTGGTAATTATCAAATTTTTGTTAAATTGTCTTAATGAATATTGACTTTATTGGTACCACTGGAAAGTATTTTTCAGTAGCTTTCCAACGATGTGTCACAAGTATGGGGTTGCCATTTAGGATTTTTGAAGAGGGGGGGGGGCTGGGGGTTAAGTGGAGGGGGGTGCCACTCATAACGTCATTCTAGTTCCCCCTCGATACCCCCGAAACGGTTTTACGCGATTTTCAATATCTTCTTTAGTTTGGAAGATATGGCCGACTGCAAGTTTTAAAATTATCACCCTGTATATTAAGAAAATATGTTTCTGATCTAAAGACTTGTTGAGTATCGCTTTGCCTGCTCTGTCACTCAACCAATGATATTTTCAATACAAACTTAAGTGATCGCCGTACATTTAAGATTAAGTTGCACAGTTAATAAACAATAAGACAAATCATCTCCACTTGAATACAATAAATTAAAAAAATCATTTTACTAGAAATTGATTGCGAGTAATTTTTTTGATTACCTAGGAGTAACTTCCGTTTGCAATTTTTGAATTAGAAATTAGTGTTTAACAATTTGAAAAATGCCACTGCAATTCTTAGTTCTGCAACGAAAATGGTAAGAATGCCACGAAATTTGGGGACGTCCTTGTCATCAATGTTTCTAGTAACACAGAGCTGCGCTTCGGCCAAATAACAAACCTGTAGTAACAATTAATGATTCAATCTTCTAACAAGATTTTTAAAAATCTCACCAGCTGTAGCCACGCACAGTCTATACATATATCTTCTTGGAATCGAATGAGTAGAATTCAATACCATGATCTGATTGGCCGTCATACACATACACCAAGTTTTTAAGATACTTAAGATACAAAAAAATTTAGTGGCGTAAGATTGGGCGATTTCAGTGGCAACAGTACCTGATCGCTTCTTCTGGTCCATCTCATAGATTGTAGAAAGTAACGTTCCGGTGATCTATACCGGTACGGTTGACTGAGAAGAGCGCCGTCATGTTGAAACCAAAGGCGTGGCCTTTGGCGTAATTCTGGTGGGTAGATTGTACAAATCGTTCGCAAAACGCAAAACGCTGCTTGCAATAATTTTAAATATTGATGCTTTTGATAGTTTACTATTTACAATAATGCAGTTTTTTCTTTCAGCCTCCGCGGCCTGTTATTCCGTGGAATCTTACGTATGATGCAACTAAAGATGGATATGCCTGCCCTCAGCCAAGCAGTTGGCCAACATATGAAGATTGCCTATTCTTAAATGTTTACACCACAAAGGTTATGATTTGAAATATATGTGGTAGGATTTTGCTAACAGATTGTGTACAGCTTCCAAGACATGGCAGAAATCCAAAGCGTCCTGTACTCGTTTATTTTCACGCAGGCGGATTTTATAGTGTGGACGGAACAAGCAAATTCGCAGGTCCTGAATATCTTTTAGATCAAGAGCTAGTACTTGTTACGCTAAACTACAGGCTTGCATCCTTAGGTAAGGTATCGGACACGAATTTATTCACACCAAAGAAATGATTAATATAGGATTTTTGAGTACCGGCGATTCATTGGCTCCAGGTAACAATGGATTAAAAGATCAAGTCGCAGCCATGAGATGGATTCAAGTAAACATAGAATCTTTCGGAGGTGATCCCAACTCTGTGACAATAAGCGGTTATAGCGCAGGTGGAATGAGTGTAACTTTACATATGGTTTCCCCTATGTCAAAAGGTACGAGTAATTATTTTGCTAATTTTAATTGACTCAGGGCCAGTATTTTCATTTTCGGTTAGTCGAATCTTACGCTTATCGTTACTTACTGATATCCCGGATATAAGCGACTGTGTGAACAATCGTGCTCATAAAAATTAACCTGTGGTGGTTGGCCTAATCAGACGATGAATGTGCATTTAATACGAGGTGACACCGAAATTTTGCTAATCCGGTCCACAGTTTAAATTTTACACAGAGGCGAGTATGCCAGACTAGCCAGACGAGGCGAAGCCAAGTTAAAATATCATTTAAATGCGCGAAATAACTTCACGCTAGTATTATACCGGGTGGTGCACGGGAGCACGGTAAGTAGGAACATAGGGATTTAACATGGGAAATTAGTCTTATGCAATATGCTGCCCTCCTGTACATTTTACAGAAAAAACTGGTTTTCCATGTTTTATTAAGCTTTTGGTATACCCGCGAATTTAAATAGTATATTAAGATACAAGTGTATGATCAAGTCTTTAAAGCACGCGCACGAGTTTAAGGGCACGACGCAAAGCGGAGTGCCTTTAACGTTGCAAGTGCTTTAAAGATCAATTATACACGTGTATCTTATAGTATTTTTTATTATACCTGCAGTATAATTTAAAAATAGGAAACACAATGAAGTTATATTGACGTTATACTCGAATACATGTCTAATTAAGTGGGCTGGGTGTTCGTAATTTCACGATTGCCATGGAAATGTCACTTGACGTTTGTTTATAAAAATCGTCGTCTTTGTGAATTAAACGATTTCCGTTGAAAAAGATAATACACCGTCCATTAAATCGATTGTTGTAAAATCTAAACAAACGTTGGTAGGTGTAAAATCCAACTCCAGCAAAGCCTATTATAAAGAATATGAAAAGTTGTTTCCATGGATGAATAGGAAGTTACTTACGAATACAGTCTTAAATGCATCCATAATGCTGGCATATATGAAGGAAATGTCAAAGGTATTTAAATCTTCTATATTTTGGTGCATTCATTCAAAACTTTAAAGCAATGCCTGCGATTAAAAAGTGGAACAGATTTGGAAGCATACCCTAAATTACGCGCGTTTGTGAAAGCTTCAACCAAAGGATAGGTACAAAAGCCAAAGAAATGTTCTGCATTTACAGAAAGCGACCTAAGAGGAATTTTTATTTCATCCAGATGACAGTTTCAAAAGTCATACTTGAAGTATCGTTACTTAGCAACTTTAAAGCACGTGTGTTTTAAAGGCCCTTTTTCGCACGCATTTAAGTGTTTAAAACAGAGATTGTGATTCAGGTATAATAAAAACATTTTTTACGGTACAAAATTAAAATCAAAATTCTAATTCTAAACGGTCTACAACAAGTTTTGACTAACGCATACAATGAACTTTGGGCAAGAATCAAATGAAATTAATTGTACTTTGAACATGAAACTTCTCTGTTGGTCGTTAATAAAGGGTCCGAATTAACACACAACTTGCGTGAAATTATACATAGATACATTTAATTTGACAAACACACAAGATAATAAAAAGAACAACAACCAGCACTGTCCTGTTAAAATGGACTCTAATGTTCAGAAAATTTTGCGATGCATCCATTACTATGAAACCTATGACGATCGGGTTTTTGTCTAGTCAAAATTATGGTTTGGGCTGGATGTTGTCACTTCACTCTCCGAAACAAAGTGTACGTAAAAAAAACCGCTGAATCCTCTGGCACTCTGATTAATAAAAATGATTCATTTTGGTCACATAGAAGTATAAGAAAAGATAACGCTTTAAAGAATCAGTAGGTGCGACCCGATTTGCAAACTCATTTTTGGTTGTCTCGACCAGCGCCAACGTCAAAAGCTGATTTCTGGTGAACTATTCATCGGATTTGGACGTATTTTTTTTATGTACCTACGTTTTTCCGAGAGCTTTCCATTCGTCTATTTAATTATGGAGTTACATTTCTTGTTATATTTCGGAAATTATTCCATTTGTTAAAAAACTTTTCGGATTTTGAAAAAAAAATTTACAGTCCGTCGAATCAATGATCCAATTTTACATTGGATAAACGGCTTTACGGTTGCTTTGAAAAGACGATATTGGATATTGTAGGAAATATAATATCAGAGATTATTGGTACGGATATTTATTTTCGATATTCATCATAATTTTGGAGATAATTAGAGCTGACGATAAAACGAATATAAGGGCATCTATTGAATAGGCGTGACGAAATCTTTAGCACCGTAAGTATCTAAGTGGATTGATAAAGACACTAAACCTTCCCCATACTTCTTTTAATTATTTCATTTCAGGTATGGGGAAGGTTTAGTGTCTTTATCAATCCACTTAGTCAATATCACCCCGTTTTGAGTCGTTATAAGATGGATAGCTACCAATTAAGTATCTAACTCAGATTAATAATTTTTTAGGGCTATTCCATAAAGCTATAGCGATGAGTGGGTCGGCACTGGCACAATGGGCAATACCGGACCATCAATTCCATTTAGCCCAGAGACAAGCTCGGCTAGTAGGGTGTCCTGACGACACTTCCTTAAAAATTATTAATTGCCTAAAGACAAAGACAGCAAAAGAGTTAGGAGATTCTCTACCGGGATTTTCAGTAAGCGCAACAAAAATTCAATTTGAGGGATGGGACAGATGTAAACTAAGAATTCTTATGTTGCAAACTAAAAAAGACAGGATCGCTTGTAAACGAAAGTTGAAGTGCCCCAGCGTTTCTTATATCTGTTCTGTTTTCCTCCATTCACACACATTTTACATTTATCAATCGATTTATAGGAGTATAGGTCAGACCCCATCATTAAATGGAAACCTGTAATCGAAAAAGATTTCGGCCAAGAACGATTTCTAGTAGAAGATCCCGTTACTGCTGTGCA